AAGATGAGGTGGCTGAGTATATCTGGAGTTGTTTCTGCATCTTCTAGTCTATTCCACTGATCCTCAGGTCTGTTTCTTTGTCAGTACCATGCTGTTTTTATCACAGTAGCTCTGTAGTATTGTTTCAAGTTGGGAATTGTGATACCCCCAGCCATGTCTCTGTTGCTTAGAATTGCTTTTGCTATTCTACGTCTCTTCTGGTTCCACACGAATTTTTGGATTGTTTTCTCTAGTTCTGTGACGTATAATGTTGGAATTTCAATTGGCATTGCATTATATCTATATAGTAGTTTTGGAAGTATGTCCATTTTCACTATATTGGTTCTTCCTACCCAGGAACAAGGGATGTCTTTCCATTTTCTTATATCCCTGAACTCCAGCTTTACCACTCATTTCATGTGTGACCTTGGGCAGGATGCTTAGTCTCACTAAACTCATGTGGCCTAGCCAGGAGTCTTAGTGGACTTTGTGTGGCTGGATAATTTATAAAGAACAGAAGCTTGGCTCTTACAGTTTTGGAAGCTGGGAAGTCCAAAGCTGAGGGACCAGCATCTGGTGAGGGCCTTCTACTTACATCACCCCATGGTGAAGGTGGAAGGACAAGAGGTTCTGAGAGAAAAAGAGGGGGCTGAACTTCACTCCTGAGATGGTGGCATTAACCTGTTCATGAAGGCAGAGCCCTCCTGGCCTAATTGTCTCTGATACTTCCTACCTCTTCAATTGCATTTTCAACACATGCTTGTGGGGGGACACATTCAAACTGTAACAGATGCACATGATGTACATCATACTTGGCTGGTATCTTAGCCACTTTCCTCATTGCTGGGACAAAATACCCAACAGCCAGAACTTAAAAGAGGAAGACTTTATTTTGGCTCATGTTTCATTCCATTGTTAGCTGACTCCAAGGCAGGAAGGCATGGCAGAGGGGCATGGCAGTAGAAAAGCTGCTCACATCATGGTGTCCAGGAAGCAGAGAGTGAAGGAAGGAGCCAAGGGAGAGATACACTCTATCAGGTCACAGCTCCAGTGATCCACCACTTCCAACCAGGTCCTTCCTCCTGATATCACATTTAGCTACAGCATCTCCATGATGCAGTCGCCCTTCGAAAGCTCTGCCTATGAGTACATGAGGTTTTGGTGTGTTGGGTTCTTGTGAGCTTAAATTAGATTATGGACATCACCACACTCTATGACCATGGAGCGGTTATGGAAGTTCCTGTCTCCTAGCATTCTTTCTGTTATTTGTCCACTGAGGAAGATGTTGTCTTCTAAACAATAAATGCAATGGAAAGTAACTTTTGTGTTAATGTTGCAGTTGGTATCAGTAGCAACTGGGGAAAAAGACAAAGGTGAAACTCAGTATTCCAGAAGGGAAGGACCAAGGGTGTTGGCCACTCAGGGCTCTATCATCTGCCTGAGCTCTGCAGGCGTAGAAAGAGCCACAGGATTGCCGGGCCATCTCACTGGGCTTTGATACAATAGGGCCTCTTGGATTTGTGTTTCTTCCCCTTCATCCCTTTATGGTTGCTCCTGGGGCAAGACAGATATGTAGCATGTAACATGGTCTTATGATCAAAGCACATAGCAAGTCACTCATCACAAATATCTGGACATTGAGTATAGAGTGCTGCCCAGAAAATTCGACTAACTGGGAAGAGGGCAGATCTCTATTTGTGTCAGGAACCAGAGGAAAGAGGGATGGGAGGGAATGTGTGGGTCAAGCCTCCAGCCTCTTGTCTCATCCATGCCCTCCTTTCGTCCTCACACAGCCCTCTGGGGATGCACATGAGCCCCAGTTCACAGATCCGAAAACCAAGGCCAAGAAAGCTGAGAAACTTGGCCTAACTCTCCCAGCTGGTGCCAGCTGGGTTCAGAAGTCAAGCATTAGGCTGTGTGCCTCTAAAGCCTGTGCTTTCCCCACTAAATCCCAACGTTTGTTTGCCCTGCGCAATATGAGCTGCTCTACCACCAAGGAGCACCTTGTCCCTTTGTTTCAATCAAAGTGTAAACGCCTGTCTCCCAGGAGAAGTTTCTGAACAGCAAGGCCTGACCAGCTATCTTTAAAGGTCTTTATTCTCTTCCAAATCTAAACTTTTGAGATTGGAAATACAGAGAGATATTACCTATGACATGTGGAGATCTGGTGGCCAGACTGTATAAATTAAAAATTTAATTACACAATTCATTCATGATCACATTTTAAGAAAAATCAAATGCAATACAAAATGAAAGCCTCATTCATTTCAAATCCTTGTTTCTATCCTCCATAGGATGAATAACAACTTTGCACACACTTGTCCAGGATTTCCTGGGTAGACACTCAAAACTTATGTTCATAGGAAAATACATAGTTTTGATATTTTTCACAGAAATTGGTTAGCTCTTCACATATAGCTCAGCAACTTGGTTTTTAAAAGAATACCCTGAATATATCATGCAGCATCATATTTAGAAGCATCATCCCTGGAATCAGAGTACTGAGTTTACATTCCGACTTCATTGCTGTGTGTGACTTTGGGCAGCTACTCAAACTTTTGTGCCTTGGTTCCCTCCTCAGTAAGTGGGTTTGATAACAGTACTTACCTATTATGGACACAGTGAGGTATCAACAAGGCATCACTGAGTAAAGTCTTGAAAAATATGGTATTCCCAGTGCTTACAAGTTATCAGACTATGTTGGCTATTATTAAAATATGTTGATGAGATTGTTGGTGTCAGTACATGCACCATCCTGGTAAATGCCCTGTGGTATTGCACTGTATGGATGTATGTTACAATTTAATCACCTGCTGTCTTCTTACATCTACTTACCCACCTTCCAGCTTTTCATGATCATGAACACTGCCACAGAGACTTCTGTACCGTGTATATGTCACTATGTCACTGTGGATACATGCTGAGTATCCCTGGAACTGGAATTGCTGGAGAGAAAAGTATGCACATTTTAATTAGAAAAGATCTGCCAGATTGCCCTCCAAAACATGGTGCCAATTCATGTTCCTGCCAAAACTACATGAGGCCGATTCCCTACACTGTGCCAACACTAGGAATTCTCAATCATTTAATTTTCCCCATCAGAGAGGCAGACACTGTATCTCCCTATTGTTTAGTTTGCATTTATCTGATTACCACAACGCTGAGGATTTTTTCATGCACTTAATGTCCCCTTGGTTTCTTTGTCTGTGATTCATCTGTTCATATCCTTTGTCTATTTTTCTATTTAGATGTCTCTTTCTTATTGATGCAACAATTCCTTCAGCTGCTAAATTGCTCTTTAGTTATGTCCTTTCTGCTTTTCAGTTCTCCTACTGAAATTTTTCTTTTTAATTTAACTGGTCATGGTTTTCATTTGCAGATCCATTTTTTTAAAATAATAGCCCATTCTTGTTTCATGGATGACTTATTCCACTGAGAAAGTTAATACACATCTCTTAAAGGCACCCTCTGTTTGTTTTATAAACTTGATATTTTCTTGGGAATCAGTTGTATTACTGAGTTTGGCATCTTGCTTTTTTAGTTCTGGTTGTTCTCAAATATTTATAAATTTGGGGCTCTGGGGGTGATTTTCCAACTTTAAATTTCCTGTTTATCCATGAGGGGACACAGTTTCTTTTTTCCAAGTCAATTCTGTCTACATCATAGTTGACAGTGGCCAACTCATCTTTTGGATCTCCTTGGCCTCCCTTGGAACTGTTTACTCCTGCTCATTTTCTGATCTTCCTGAGACAAGTGCCTGTTTGGAGTTCTGCTCTCAGCCTGTCCAGACGTGCACTGGCCCTGTCCCACACTGACTCCATGGAAAAATCTCATCCTATGGGCTTTTGTTTTTCAATTGTTCAACATTTTTATTTTGTTGATGGCCATCTCTTTTATTTTCCAATACTTTGAAATTTATGTCTTCTTAAAGGCAGATTTTTTGCTGCTATTTCTAAAAAATTGAGAGAGGGGAAGCAGAAGTATGGTCATAGTCTTTCTATTTTGAATCAGTTTCTTTCTGATGAGTGTCTATAATCCTTTCTTGGTTATAAGTACATTTTTTTCTTTTTTTCCCTTTTAGGAGGAAATTATCACTGTTTCTGGGGGAGAGTTGCTGCAGGAACCCTGTGGACAGAGGGACAGCCCCCCAGACTATCATCTGTTGTTTGAATGACAGTTTTTCTCTTCATCAATTGGGTTCCTTTTTTTTTTTTTTTTAAACCCAGCTTAAGAACTTCCCAACTCAAATCCCTATGGCTTTCATCAAGATCCACCACAATCCACAGGCACAAATAGATTAATATATCTCAATCCATATTAAATACATGGCATTTGTGCTACTGGTCCCATCCCCATGCTGGGGCCAAAATTTGGGAGTGGGTGATGCAACCTGTTTTGTGGAGAATTTAGCTGTGACCTCAAAAGATGAAGCTTATTTGTCATGGTTGCCTTAAACCACACTCCTAGAGTGCATGGACCATGTTTTGATAATTTAGAATAACCCCAGTGCTGAACCCTGAATCTAACACATGGTAGACTTTCAATAAGCATTTGTTGAAAAAATGCAGTTCTTCCAAAAGTTTTCCAACATGAACCTGCAATTATTATTTCCTGCTCCACACTCTAAAGTCATAGAAGTAAAAAGAAAAGTTGCACAGGATTTATATGGAGAACACAGATGTGACGTTCTTCCTGACATTCATCACCCTCATTGATATCTTCATTGGAATCACCTGAGGCTTCCTAACCTCAGCTTCCTGGACAGGTGACAGATTCTGCACTACCTTCCTCATTTAATCTCTCTTTTTCCACCCTCGTCTTGTGTTGGAGACATATCTTGGCCCTGGTTTTGCAGTATTAAAGCAGTGATCTTAAATATTCCTACAGATGTGCCCAAGACCTAGAGTGAATTATTAATCCAAGAATGGTGTTTAGGCATCTAACAAGGCCTGTGCCCTCTAGGATGCTGTCTACATGAAGTAACTCAAATGATTAGGTCTATCCCCATTGCTCTTTTGATTTTGATACTACAGCCTATTTAATCTGAATATGTTCTTCATATTAACAAGAAGACTCTCCCAGTGATCCCTCAATAACTCAGGGATGGTGTCTATTTGTTCCATATGGCCATAGACATGGAGACAGCAGATTGTGATAAGAAAATTACAGGCTCTAGGGTCAAGAAGACCTGGTTCAGATCCACAGCCCTGAAACTCACTACCTTGAAGCTCAGTGCTTGGTGGCCATACAAAGACAAGTGAACTCTGAGGACAGAGTTCATAATCAGGGGCTGGTTAACGTTTCTTGGTAGCTGCATCAAACCTCTCTTATACTCTACTTCTCTTCTTACTTCACCTGTTCCTCACATCCTTGGCCACTTGTTTCCCAAGCCACTGTCACTGTAACCAGTTTTGCATGAGCTATGCTCTTTTTTTTTGTACATGGGGATTGAACTAGGGACCTTGCACTTGTGAGGCAGGTGGTGGCACCACTGAGCTAAATCCCAGGCCCAGAAAGATTGTTATACCTGCGTCCTTCATTCTAGCAGGGACGAAATGAGGCAGTAATGTCTTTTTATTTTTGGTACCGGGAACTGACTCAGGACCTTGCGCTTGCCAGGCAGGTGCAGTGCTGCTGAGCTACATCCCCGGGCCTGGGCTCTCCTCTTTCTCCCTTTTTTTTTTCTTTGTACTGGGGAGTTGAACTCAGGGCTTTGTGCTTGTGAGGCAGGTGCTATGCCTCTGAGCTACATTTCCAGCCCTCTTTCTTACTCTGTTGATCATCCAGCAGTGCTTTGCCACCTTGGTGCTATGGGGTCCTCATCTCTGGTTGCTATGTTTCAGAAGAGCTGAGAAGTCAGTGCCCATGAGTGAGCCCTAGACCAAAGGAGACCGAGGCTGGTGAATCAGTCCTTCTCTCTCTTTCCTCCTAGCGGGACTGTTTGGAGAGGTTGCGCTTCAATCAGCCTCTTACAGGACAGTTCTGCAAGATGGAGCAACTAGTCACAGTGATACTAAGCAGTGGCCAGATCAGATGGTCCTCCCTCACCCCTGCTTGCTCTTTCTCCTTCTTGGCCTCACCTCACCTCCACCTGTGTCTTTGGGATTGCTCTCGGGAACCAAGCAATAGCCCAGAGGGCATAGGCTCTGCCCTTTGGGGACCCATGGGAAATCTCCATCATACACGTCAACCCCCATCAACTTTGCAATTCAGGTCCAGAACTTCCTTCCCTGTCTCTCTGGATGGATGAAATGAAGCAATTTTGCTTCTGAGCACTAAAATACTTTGAAACCATAGCCAAGTATTATCAAAATCACCATATATCTATGAGGACTCACCAGAATGAAATTTTAAAAAATTTTATTTTGGTTCTCCTATGTATCAAATTGAAATTATTGAAGTCATTTTTTAATCTTGCAAAACCCCTGTATAACACGGAAGAAAATTTTCTGTATGACTGTCATTAATTGTTTTTGGCAGATCTATTAAATGGCAAATGCAGAAACTGTTCAAAGGAAAGGTGCTGATCACCATAATCGCAAACAGCGACAGCTTTGTGCTGAGTGGCGACATGTCAGGGATCTGATGTGATTTTTGACAAGTTGGAAGAAGCTTCCAGCAGTAGCTTTGAAAGCAGACCAAGATGGGTTGAAAACCTGAATCCCCAGCCTGTTGTTGCTGTCCCCTCCTGATTAATATATGAGAGACAACAGCTGAGTTTTCTATCCCTAACACATGCATTTCATTTTATTTGGGGCTGCATTTTTTGCATGTCTCATATATTTTAGGTTTTTACCTGGCGTTAAAATAAATTCCTTGTAAGTTGTCCTGCAAATGAAATTACTGTCTGGAAACCTGCAATTTCATCTTGAGAGTTTTATTATGCTAATAAATGTCAGGATTCTCAAATAAAGGAATTGCCTCTTTTTGTTCCCCAAGCCCTACAAATATAATGAAAAACAGTCAGCTACGACACTCAGCAGAGGGAAAATTTACAATCTATATCTAGAAAGAGAAGTTATAAAAAACGCTATGCAACTTGATGGAAGATAAATTTCAGGGAATGAAAAGGCAAGTGGGGATACAGATCCAGGGAGATCCCTGAGTGACAAATCTTTTTTAGGACCATCTAGAGGTTCAGGGACTTAAACAGGGGTGTGTACAGAGTGGGCCCCTAAATGGAAACACGAGTATGAACATCTGGGGTCCCGGGGGGATTTGCTCCCCTTTGGTCCCTTTGAAACTGCCCTTATCCTCAGGACTGACTTGGAATCTCAGATGAGTTTCTCCATCTCTGGACCATAGGTTTTGGGAAATGGGCTAAGTATTGACTGTTTCTGAAGGTAATTGTGAAAATGGCATAAAAGTTTGTGATAATGACAAATTTTTTAAGCCACATGAGTGTGAATTCTCACAACCAGACTTGAAGAAGGCAATGCTGTCATCTCCATTTTGTACAAGGGGAAACTGAGGCACAGAAAAGTTCATATCTTTCCGAGAATCACTTTTTTGGGAAGGTACAGCACAGGGATTGGTCACAGCATGGCTTGTGCAACGACATGAGCTTTAAATCAGTGCTTCTCTGACTGATGTGTCAGCTGAATCCTTGGCAATGTTAGAAATGTAGATTCTCCTGTGGATGTCAGGTTGAGCCTGAGGTTCTGAACTTCTAACCAACTTCACCCACACCCCCAACCTTGAGATGACAGCTTTTAAAGCAGGGGTTGTTGGGGAAATATAGCTGGAGGTCAAATTTGGCCTCCTGGTGTGTTTCCATAGGTGGAATGGTTTTTGTATTTATATAGTTGAAAAAAAATTTTAAAAGAATATTTTGTGACCTGTGAAAATTACATTAAACTCAAATTTTGGTGTTCATCTATAAGGGTTTATTGGACTATGGCCACAATCATTTGCTTATCTTTAGTCTTTGGTCATGTATAACCCACAAGAGCTAAAATTTTTACCATCTTGCCCTTTGTAGAAAAATCTTGTTGATTCCTGCTTTAAATTACGGTGCATACATTAGAAATTATTTTTCTTCCTTTCTCTGTCTTGTCTAAATCTACTCTTATTGTGTTATTTTTCATCACTGTGACAAAACACGTGAATCAACTTAAAAGATGAAAAGGTTTATTTTGGCTCATGGTTTCTGAGGTTCCACTCATGGTCACTTGGCCCTTTTGCTTTGGGCTTATGGTAGCATGGTGTATGTTGGCAGGGAGAATTTGGCAGAAGAGGTTGCTTTAAACTTCAGGGGACCTCTATGATAGAAAAGCTCACACTGAGCATTCTTGCTGCTTTGGGTTAGAACCCCAAGTCTACTACTTTTAAGTTGTTAAGAGGAATAAACAAGCATGCAAACTAATAAGACTGAGAAAGTACAGAAGAGTTCTACTGACAGCTAGTATGAGATAGGGTATTGAAACGGAAGTCACATCTTGCAAATCTGTTCTGTGACTCACAGAACAGGGAAACTGAGTCAAGCCAAAGCATCCAAGAGCAATTGCCTAAGGTCATTCTCTTTTAACCATCTCATGAAGATCTATGTGGAAAAGAAGACACCAGATAAGCTGATCCAATAGGAACTCTACATGGCTTTTTAAAGAAAATTGTGGTAAAATGTACATAACATAAAATTTTCCACTTAGGCCATTAAATATAGAGTTCAGTGGCATTAAGCACAATCACATTGCTGTTCAATCATCAACAGCATCCATTCCAGAACTATTCTCATCTTGCAAAACTGGAACTCTGCAGCCATTGAAAAATAATTCCTCTGTAAACCTAGCACTTTCAGGGGCTGACACAGGAAGACGTCAAATTTGAGCCCAGCCTGGGCAACTTAGCCACTTAGCAAGAACCTGTCTCAAAATAAAAAAGTAAAGAAAGTCTGGGGTTGTAACTCATTATGTAGGCCCTGGGTTTATTTCCAGTACCACAAAAACAAACACAAAGAGACAAACAAAACCAACTCCCCTTAATAACTCCCTATTCCAGCCGCCTCCAACCCCTGACAGCCATCATTTTACTTTCTGTGTGCATGAGTTTAACTATTCTAGGTACTTTATGTAAGTGGAATTATACAATATTTGTCCTTTGTGGCTGGCTTATTTCACTTATAATGTCTTTAAGGCTCATCTATGTTGTAACACATGTCAGAATTTCCTTTTAAAGCTATGTAATATTCCATTGTATATATACATTTTATTTATCCAGTCATCTGTAGATGGATGTTTTGATAGCTTCCACTTTTTGCCTACTATAGATAATGCTGTGATGAACATGAGTGTACATCCGATTCTTGTGCTTTCAAAATAAAAATCATTGACTATTTAAGTGACTCCCTTGTTCAGAGATTCTCATCAATTCCTGCCAAGGACATTTAATTTAAACTCCCCAGCCTCAGTAAGCGTCCTTTCCTAAAGTTTTCCTTTTGCTGTTCTGTGATTCCTCTGGTGTGTCTTCTCCCTTGCTTAATAACCTAACAGACCTAACTTTAGTTGCACATGTGTCCCTGGCAGGCTTTATCTGATGGACCACAAAAAGAGGACACCTTGAAACTATCTATGATAAGCACTCAATAAGCCTCAATGTCTTGATTTGCATTTCCCTGACAATTTGTGATGTTGAGTATTTTATTCATGTAATTTTCAGTCAGTTGTATGTCTTCTTTTGAGACATGTCTATTTAGATCATTTGCCCATGTAAATTTTTTTTTTACTTTTTTAATCAAGTTTTTTAGTTCCTTGTATATTTTAGATATTAATACATACCCTATTAGATGAATTCGGTATGTTGTCTCTTCACTGCCTTGATTGTTTTATTTGCTCTGCAGAAGTTTCTTAGATTGATATAATCCCATTTCCCTAGTTATGCTTTTGTTGTATAGACCTTTGGGATCTTATAAAAATTTACTGCCTATCCTGGTATTTTGAAGTGTTTTCCATATGTAATCATCTGGGAAATGCAAATCAAAACCACAGTGAGATATAATTTCACCTGTGTCAGAATGGCTATTATTGAAAAATAAAAAATGAAAGCTGCTGCTGAAGATGTCGAGAAGAGAGAATTTTACATGCTGCTGGTGGGAAGATAGATTAGTGCAGCCATTATGTCTGCTTTTTTTTTTTTCTTTTTCCTTTTTCACTGCTGGGGATGGAATCTAGGGCCTTGTGCATGACAAGCAAGCATTCTATCTCTGAGCCACGAGCCCAGCCCATAGTACAGTTGTGAAAAACAGTATGGAGATTCCTCAAAAAAACTAAAAACAGAACTATGAAGTGTGATAAAAATACTTTATGTAATGAATATTGAAATACAACTTTATTATAGTAAAAGATACATTGTCATGAGTCCCCCTAAAAATACGATCTCTCATTTTGAACACACTTATCCCATCATTTTTTCCACTTTGTGAAGCAGTTCTTGGAGTCCTCCTTCGTGAGTGTCTTTAGGGTTGCCTCGTGCCATTCAACGGAAAGGCAGGATTATAAAAACATTACGGTGTATCCTTATCCACTTTATTCCCTGGATCTGACACTGTGCACCTTCTGGCTCTCTCCTAAAGTCAAAGTCGAAACCATAAAGATTTTTAATCAATTCAGTTTATCAAGGCAGCCACCATATTAGCACAGATAAAAAGACTCATGAGAGAGAACTTCCAGAGCTGCTTCAGAAAGTGGCAAGAAAGATGGGATAAGTGTGTTCAAAGCAAGGGGAAGATTCTGAGGGGGATTAACAATACCATGTCTTTATCCACTGTATATTGTATAAGTTTGTACAAATATTACATAAGTTAAAAATAAATTTAGAAAAGATCCAGTGTCTTCTCTCCTCTCACCATGCTGAGTAGGGCACAAGTGCCTCTTGTGTCTATTTGTATCCTCATCTCAGAGGATGAGCATGATGTGGACCTGCTGGTCCTCTGAGCTCATCCCCCAGGATGGTGAAGTGGAGGGTGGTGAGGAGGTGGAGGCAGTCAGGCTCAAATGTGGCTGTTCCAGCTGCTCTTCTGAAGACACTGACTTACCACAGAGGTCCAGGGATCACAGGAAGCTCCAGCTGAAGGGAAGAAGACCCAGGAAAAGGAAGAGAAAACAGAGGTTGTCTAAGGTGGACCCTTGACATGTTTGCCCAGAGACCTCTACCCTTCATGGTACTCTTTCCTTCTGCTTCTCCTTCAGGTAGGAGGAGGCAAAAGGGTGCAGAAGGAAGAGTAATTCTTTGTAGGTTGTCAACATAAATCTGAACTTAAATGGCACAAAAAGAATAGAATAGGCTTTCAGGAAGAGGCAAAAATTGGCACAAGCAGAAATTCACAGGCGTGAAAGTGTGTGTTTGTATCAGTATAGACCTCAACTGGATTTCCACCAAACCCTATTTCTCCCTCCTCAAACCAAATAAACGTTTGCACAGATTCTTTATAAAGGACACGTTCTGTCCAGATTCCCAGCCATGAAACTTGGGTCTTAAGTACTTCTGGAAGCCTATGTGCTAAGGAGAATTTATACCAACAACTTGAGCATTGGCCATTTATCTAGACCTTGCATGAGTTGGCCTGCTCCTAGTATAGCTTTTCCTAACTTGGCCTGCTCCTAGTATAGCTTTTCCTAACTATTTAATTAAGATTGTATATTGCAAGCTATGTGTTATGTTTGTATGCTGGCATTCTTCTGGATAATTTCCATCTTGTTCTCACATCTTCTTAGATTTTTGTATTGGGTGTATTCTGATTGGCTACAGTTATTGCTTTTCATTCTACTCTTCTTTAATGATTTTTTTTCCTCTCTTGGCAATTTGATAAGGGGGAAAACCTGACTCCTTTTATCTAGACTGTGTGTTCTTTTGAGCCTCATATTTCTATTGGCAGCTGGTTGTTGAACAAAACCACAAGAGTTCTTTGGGATAACCAAGCATCTTTTTTCCATTTCTTGCTTCAGAGAACTTATGAAAAGTAAGGAACACTTATGGCAAACACAAGTAACAGAACTACCAAAATATTACACAAGAAGAAAAAATAGTATTCTAATACACAAGTAAATTCATAACAGGTAATCAGTGAGCCGGTGTCTCAGAGTCTGGCTCTAGCAGTGTCTTAGGAACAAACCAGACCCTTTCCAGAGCTGTTTAACAAAATATCATTTTCCATTAGCAATTTCTAATTTGTTTAAGAAACATCGAATCCCTGAACAAATGGGCCATTGGAAGCTAATTAATGGCACTGCACAATCTTAACCTAAAAAAGAGACACTAAGACACAGCTGAAATAGAAATGTAAAATCATCTTAGCAACAACTTAACTTTTATTACTTAGTATACACCAAGGGAGGAATATTGTGTGCTAACAGCATTTACCTGACACATATATACAAACGATAAAGCTCAGGCTGGTAGATCCAGCTCACAACGCCATTAAAGAGTAAGCATCAGTATTCACAAAAGAGATCGATGTTCTCCATTAAGCAATTCAATTATTGGTTTAAAGGAGTTACCATCTCTCCTAACAATTTTAAAAGTCCCTGAACTCTAATTTTTAACCAATTGTACTCAGAAGTATAATGGCGACTCAAAGAGGAGAAAAAGTTAGACACATTTTAGACTCTTACGGGCTTTTTCCCTGTGTGCATCTTACTTCCTCAGATGGAGCCATTCTTCTGTCTTACTGAATATACAATTTATCTTTCTTCACAGACATCAGAGAGTGACTGGCAAAAAGAAGGCTCAGGGGC